GATAGATCGATCGATCTATCGATCTATCAATATTTCTCTATATATATATCTATATTGACCATATACAAATACAGACTATATACACATATAGTACGGTAATGTGAACAGGTTATGATAGGGCACAAAGCAAATGAACACTCGTAACCTTTTGCTCAAGCTCACTGCTAATGAAAAAATATGTCCTAGCATTGAAACCGTAAATTTGATTAGGCATATAATGTATATTTATTGGTTTTACGTACGAGCAATATCATATAGGCCTATATATATATATATATATATATGGTGCAGTTTATACACATATTCCCATTGTCGACGTCGACTCGACGAGCATTGAGTGATCTCACCCTCAGCATCAGATTAGAACTCTGTTTCCTTAGCGAACCGGCCCTAATTGACAATGAATGAAAAACAACGCTGCCGTGAGAGATCGGTTACGCCTAAGTGACCGCGTGAGTAAAAGGGAAGCCATGTGCTGCTCTATAGAGTTGCAGGGAGGAAGAGGTGATCTCGGGAATGGGAACGGCCATGATGCGTAGATCCCTCGTATAATTAGCCTTTCATGGTGTTCGCTCGCCGAGCGCAGATTTATGACTTTCCGTTCGTTGAGCGCTATATTAGCCACTAATTTCTTTGCGTGGTTCATTCATATTTACCCTCGTATGGGGGGTTTTCCTCGGGGGCCTCGCCGGAGCGGGGCTTTATGTGTTTTTACATTAATGATATTTTTCGGCTGAAATGTCTGGCGAGGGCCTAGATTGCGTCGCCTGCGTAAAGAAACTCTCGAGTGCCGAAATATCTGTGTCTCTCCGAGCGTCTCTAATGGCGTTGCGGGGAAGTGATTGTACATCGGTCGGTTGGTTCGCGCCAGAATGATAATAGCATCTAGCTTTCTCTTTGGGAGCGGATTCGCATCGATTGCAGCGCACGGTTGCGTTGCACAGTCGTCAATAATTAGTGCCCTTCAATCCCATAGCTGCAGGCAAGTGCGTCTGCCGGTGGTTGGCACACGATTCCTTTCTATACAGAATCCTCGCTCATAGAAATCCCGCGCGTTGTCGGGAGAGCGAGAGAGAGAGAGTGGGAGGGGGAGAGAGAGCGGGGGAGAGAAAGAGAGAGAAAGAGAAAGAGAGAGGGAGAGAGAGAGAGAGAGAGAGAGAGAGAGCGAGAGCGAGAGGGAAAGAGAGAGGAGAGAGAGCAGACGGATACGAGAAGAGAGAGAGACGACGAGCGAGCTAGAGAGAGAGCCGAGAGAAGAGAGAGAGAGAGAGAAGAGAGAGAGGGAAGAGAGAGGGATCAGAGACTAGAGATATAAGATACGAGAGAGAGAGAGAGGAGAGAGAGCAGAGAGCGAGCGGAAGGAAGAGATGAGAGCAGGAGAGAGGAGAGAGGGAGAATAGAAGGAGGAGTGAGACGATAGGAGAGCGGAGATCGATAGGAGGGGGAGAGAGATAGAGAGTGAGAGCGAGAGAGACGAGAGATAAGAGAGGGAGCAGAGGAGAGATATCAGATGGAAGGAGGGGGTGAAGGAGCAGGGGAGAGTGAGAGAGAGATAGAAGAGAGAGAGAGAAGGGAGAGAAGAGCGCAGGAGAAGAGAAGAGAGAAAGAAAGAGAGAGGCAGGGAGGGAGCGAAAGAGAGAGGCAGGGCGGCGAAAGAGAGAGTGAGAGAGAA